TGAAGGCGTCTATGGCTTTGACGGTTAGCAAGGAATATTTTTTGAGCATCTGTTACGTAGCCTTATGTTCAGTTATACTTATACTTTGTTTTAGGAGAAATGGATGTTGGAAAGTGAAGTATTGTCCTTGAAGTGAAGTATTGTATTGAAAGTGAAGTTACTATGGTTTACGAGTATCGAAAAATAAAAATCGGCTTAAAATGCACAAAAAAGGCAGTTAATAGAGACGATGCTAAACTGATCGGTAAGCGTAACTTACCGTTAGCTCAGCATCTTTAACAGATTGATCTTCTTTTATTTAGTGTTTGCAGCGGACACAACCGTTTAGTCTCTTAGACTCTACTATAACTTTATGTGACAGCAAGAAAATACCGTACGTTTTTATTCCATTCAAACGCGACTTAGGTAGAGTAACTGGAGTTCTAAGGGACGTAGCTGCCTGTGCGATTCTAAAATCTATAGATAAATCCAAAGCCAAAAAGAAAACGGACGCTTTGGTTGAAAGATTAATTCAGTAAAAAAAGTTTTTTCTTTGTTATTGTTTTAATTTGTTTTTTAACTGTAGCTTTATTTTATTTTCCATAATGTTAACTACTTTTTATTGTTTTGGTATTCATTATGTTGTTGTAGTTTTCATTAATCGAAACTATTTTCGCACTTTTCTTAAAAAAGCTTTTTATCCGTTCATTTCTTTTGTAGTAAAGTGTAATAAATCCTTTAGACGTTTTGAAGTAAAACTGATGTTGTAGAATAATGATCTTCATTTATTTGTATAAAATAGTGGACCGATAGACCTTAGTCGACTGATTTGAGAAGAGGCATAAAAGAGCATGCTTTTGTATGAACTAGGCAAATATTACGAGTGTTTTATTTTATCTGTTGAAAAATCTCGTTTGGTAGCTTTAATTTATTAACTCAGTCGGGGCTTGCTCATCAGAAAATCTTTGAGTTTTATCCATGATATCTTGATTAATAATCTATTTGCATCTTGTTCTATCTCGAATGAAAAGACTTTCACGCCGAAAAAAGAGAAAATCTGAGATTGAAATCAAGGTTATAAGCAGAAAGTTGAAAACGTTATTGAAATTTTATAAGCAGGATAAAAAGTTGAGGAAAAAAAAAGAAAAATTTAAGAAATATATATTCTCAAAAACTACAACTCCGGTTATTGAAGAAAGCTTCTTGACTTCTGTAGAGTCATAAGAGATTTTGTGAAGTACCAGATACTATGCATGGGAAGTCCGTTGAAACAGCGTTTGTCATATTTCCAATTTAGAACAGAAGTTATTTCTTTATATCAGAATCAGCCCTATATCTCGTCGCTGACGATGTGTTCAGCCTCATCCTGTTAGAAAACTTTCAAGATTTTACAGTAGTCCAAAAGTTCCTTGATATTATGTCAGATTGGTGTGTACAAAATGATATTGAATTAAACATAGAGAAATGTTTTTATTTGCCGTTTTCAAATTCTACCACCAGAAAATTATACCTCAATCTATCTATTAGGAAAACCGCTTTCACTTAATAAAAACATTAAGTTACTAGCAATGCACCTTTCTTCAGATCTCACTTGGAAACATCACTTAGAAGAAACTAGCAAAAGGTGTAGGTAAATGTTAGGTGCGCTAAATCGAACTTTTAAACATGCACCAGAATTTATAAGACTTCATATATACAAAGCATGTATTCTTCCTGTGATGGACTATTGCTCGATTGTTTTTGATAACAATTATAAGACACATTATTAACATCTATTCAAAAGTTAGCTGCGAGTTTTCATTGGCACATATTACAACCCCTCGAAAAAATGATCCGATCGAGCTCAAAATTTTACCCTAGATACTTCAGGCTCTATATTAGATTAGTTTTGTTTCGAAAAAGGTTGTTTCCTTCTCGAAATATCCGACAAATGCTGAAAATCCTATATGAAAAACCGGTTTTTCATTTTGAAAACGTTCTCACACCGAAATTTGAAATGGAAAACGCTTTAAAAAAAACGAACTCCAGATAGGCTCTGAGATAAGAGCTTTTTGTTTCTTTCAGTTTTGAAAAAGAAAACGAAAGTTCGCCTTCTTTCTATTTATCTTTGTATAAGAAAATATTGATTAGGAATGTAGTAAGGAATGTCATATATTTGTATTTACTACATAAATGTTATATGGCTTAGCCATTAGACTCAGATACGAAACAACTCGGCAAGCCTTCAGGATACACAATCATTGGTACTGAATGTGCTGTCAAAGTAAGAGAAGGTTCATAAGCTTTGTTTACTAATGATTCTTTTATAAGCAATCTATGTGGATTTTATCACTCTATAGTATTTTTAAATTCATCCAACAATCTTATGTCCGGTTTGAGATTCATATTTGACTAAAGCAGATTTTTCTTTTGTATCTTTTTCACTCAACTCAAAATTCGACCACATTCCATCACCAGTTTGTCAAGGTGATTTCAATGTTCCTTTCCACTCCATACTGTCCCTTTTTCGCAAATACTGGTGGCACAATCAAGGCATAAAGGGAAGGTTATTGTTTTAAATGGACAATGTATAATCCATCAGCGGGATTCGATTGATTGACAACCTCAAGGAAAGTAGCTGGCATAAGCAATATCTCCTTTTCTGACTGATAATACGAATGTGCACTAATTGTTCTTCTGTCATAACATTCAATTGAAAATAATGTTCGAGTGCCACTTTTTCCGAGAAAACTCTCTGTGACACCAAGGGCTTCGGTACACAAGCTTACTTCCACCATATGTGTCCACTACCTTTCCTATACTGTTGGCTTAAGTCACCCTTTGCGCCACGCCATACAAAACACATTTTGCTGATAGTAACTTGTGCAGAGCAGTAAGAAATAGCTTCATAAAATAGCAAGAAATAGCTGCTGAACCATGGAATTAATTTATGACGACTTCTTTCCCGTAAAGTAAGTCGATAGTTGTCGTATCATATTTACATAAATTAGCGCACATGGGGGAGTTGAATGTAAAGCCGATTGCATCATGTGTTGAATTGCATTTCGTTTTAATGTATCTTATTCTGTTGCCGATTGTGCATCTACCGTATTCTCATTTTCATGAGCTTGGATCAATGATATAACACGTTTATATAACACTGTTGCTTCTTCATAATTTTTATCATTTTCTAATTTTTTAGCACGAGTTAAATAACTATTGGCTTCGTGCTTAACATCTTTTGATATGGGCGCCTTGACGCCAACCGATGTTGGTTTTTCTGCAGTAATAGTACTCATTCCAAAACAAACAAATAAGATCAACAATTATATACGAGGGATGAAGAGCAATTGCTCTTCATCCCTCGTAAACTTAATATCTATTAAGATTAAATAAACAGTAAAACTTAATATCTATTAAGATTAGTTTTTATTACATAATCAAAGTAAATAGTGAGAGATATTTAGTATACATTTTATGTCGTTTCGATACAATGTTCTCACGCAAAATGATCAATTAACAATTCTCAATATAGCAGGAACTATGCGAATGTTATAAAGTGTAGCAAATATAAAAACATAAAATCGCCTTCTGAGCAAACCGTGGAATTCGAGTTCTTGCTTTAAGAGTTCAAGCGTTTAAAACCCTGACTAAAACTAAGAACAGAAACAGCATACTCTACATTATTTATCTATTCAACACACCAGAGGAGAACTTAAGATCATGACTAATTTCTGCTTTTATTTGTATTATATTATTAATTCAATTTACATGAATCATTTCAGGCAACTATGATAACTCAGCATTTTCTAAATAGTTCTAGCAGAGACGAATAATCATGTCGTGCCGTAAAAGCGTTACAATCAATGTCGATTGCCAATCACTTTCTTTCTGAGCAGAGTGTTTGAGTGCCCTGGCCACTTATGCACACGTTACACAGTGCACACGTGTGCACAAATTAAATGAAAATGCATGAAGTAAAAGTTTTGTTGGAAAGTTTATTAATTTAACAAGATACGTTCAGCAGCGAAGACTGGTAGTATGACAGACATCATTGTCACTATATAATTCATGAATGTGTGCACTTCGTGAAAGAGCTCTGAAGATGACTGAAAAACACGACTGTATCTTCTCAGATGTCAGGTGATATTTTTTTCTTTGTGGAGATCCATCTTCAGAATGGAGTGCGGTTTATAGATCACAGGATATTCTATCCTGACGGAGACAATGAAGAAAGTCAGTCAGTTTGACTAGCTATTGTGTTGAACAGTATATCATTTAAAATCAAGGGAGTAAGATAATATTAAGTTTTTGTTACGTATAACTTCCAGCTTACGAGTCTTACTTAACTAAGAACTTAACATTAACTAATGATAGTGAAGTCGCCGACGAAGTAATGATTACAGAGAAACCGGCGATATCAAGCTCTTGGTTAAAAGTGAGAAAATACTTCAGATAGAAGATTATACTAGAATTGTTTTGAACGGAACTTACTTACCGAGTAAGTATATGAGAAGGTGAACTACGCAACAAGAGTCTGACCGACGTTTTGTTGTGCTTGCTCACCTATCCAGTTCATGTTAAAAGCCCGAAAGCCATCTCACAAGGTGGATAATTGAATTCCCTACAAGATGCACTAAGTTGACTTTGGACTTTATAAGATACTGTACCAAGAAGCTGAGTGTTTAGTGTTTCTATTCAAGGCAGATCTTGATTACAAGTTTTGACACAGATAGCATAGAGCTGAAAACTAAAGATGAAAACATGAGTTCACGAAGTCGATTTGTATTTCGTGAAAAGTAAACAAGACGACACACTGATGAGTTTTGTTTGCAGAGATTGTCTTCTGTGTTGTTCATCAAGGAAGTTTTGTCGGCTCTCTTGGATACTGTGCGGGCGGTTCATTGCCAGGCTGAGTGTAAGAACTGCTTCCCATGTAATACTGTCCTGGTTGTTGCGGGTTATGACCAGGATATGCCAAAACCATACCTTGTTGTTGCGGTACCTGAACACGATTTTTACTTTTACATATACATACTATGTTATAATAATACTAATCAACACAGCCGCACCGGCTAAACAGCCGATAACGATACCGATAATAGTACCAACTGATATTAAACTACTGTATGTGCTGGACACAGTGGGCAATTTTGGCTAGAGCAAGCGGACATATGGTTTTATTCACAAAGTTTGAGTGCTAGAGTGATAATAAAAACTATTTCCTATAGGTTATCGGGTGCGCTCTTTCTAATGGTGAAGTCA